TTGATAAAAGGCTTAGAAAGTGTTACTTAGGCGTCATTAAAAACCTTGTCAAGAAAACCCAATGGGACAAAACTTGACAAGGGAAAAAGAGTGCATAAGCAACACTTAACCCTTTACCGAACCTTTTGAGTCGTGATGATTATTGAGGAGACTTGAGCCACGTCTTCTTGCTTCTTGTCTAGCTCCCTAAGTCTTCCATTGGTTGATGGGTTGAGCTCCTTAAGCCTTGATCTTTTCGGAGGATCTTCCGGGACGTCTAGTGCTTCCTCCGCTTTGAGATGTTCCTCCGCTACGTGCTGCTCCTTGTCTTCTTGTTGCTCCTTGTCAATGGCTTCCTCCACTTCGAGCTCCGGGTCTTGCTCGACCATAGTCATATCATGCCCTCCGTCTTGAAAAGGATTTGTCCTCAAATCCGTTTTGTCTACAATAAAAGGAGATAGATTAGAAACGTTACTGCTCGATCTTATATTGTACTTACCTCGAATATCAATTTGATAGGAAATATCATTGATTCGTTTTGTGATGGTGAATGGTCCATCAATCCTTGACTTCAACTTGCTACTCCGCTCGGCCAAGAATATTTCCTTCATCAAGTGAATTCGCACTTGTTCTCCAACTTCGAAGATCATCCTGAAATAAGCAATTAGTTTCTTGGTCTGCATCGAAGTCGCTTCAATTCTTGTTATCACAAAAAATTTAGACGAGAAGGTTTTTAAATCCGGTGGCTCCTTCTTGAACATCGAATAAGCTTTGGCAACTTTTCCATGTTCCTTGGTTGATGATTCAAACCGTAAGAATACATGATATCCTTGGTTCATTTCTTCCCTTGGTCCATAGTCGATTTGATTAGCAAAATCTTTAATCATCCTTGACTTTGAATCTTTAACCTGTCTTACTTTTGTTTTTACAAGGACTAGAGAAACCACATCAAATGTGCGATAGGAATAGATAAACAATCTTTTAAGATAATCAAACTCTTTATCACAAATAAGAATGTGATTA